GCAGTCCCTTGGCAGCTGCCTTTTCAGCTGCTGTAAGATGATCAAATGCTAATGATTTTAACGATGTTCCCTCAGCTCACAAAGCTGTGGATTACAACCCTCATACCCACAAGGGAAGAATTTCAGTCCAACATACACTGTCAAACATTTAATGTCAAACACATAAAGGCAAAAAATGCATTAATGTCATTTTCTCCCACATCTGGAGAGAAAATAACGTTGCCCTCTCTTAGGGCTTACTGACATGCAATCACTTGTCTCAGCAACAGTATCACTATCCTCCTCTCAAGGGAGTGCTAACGGTCAGAGTTTTTCAGGACACAAAGACCTAACCTTTGCTTTGCTAGTGACAGTTGGCTTATCTGCTAACTACCTCCTCATCGCCAAGTGATGAGCCACAAACACAACCAGTCCACCTGCCTGGAAAGGTTTGAGCAAAATCTTGGTAACAGGTTTAGACCCTCCATCTGTTGCCTTCCCCATTAGCAGTGTTTTTGTCATTTTTTCCATGAAACCTGTGTCCACAGTTTCGTTTGCTAACCGGGGCTTGATGCTCGTAAATAAATTCACATGTGTGTGCTCCTACCCTGGAGAACATTTTCTCAGGAGTAATCACTGCTCTGTAGAGAGTGGAGGGTGCTCAGGAGCAAGTGTCTCATGAGCAAGCCCTCCCTGGAAGCAACCAAATGCCTTGCTGAGAGAGTCACTCAGCCCAGATGGGCATACTTGCAGGTAGCAACACAAGTCGAAACAAATCGAGCTTGAAGAACGTGCTCTAAAACACGGACTGAGCACGGCTGTGCGAATCACTGCAGACAATTCCTTTTAATGCTGATGGTGCTGCTCTAAGCACATTCCTCAAACTGAATATCATCTCCAGCCAGGACTACTCATATCATCTCCCAGCCAGGGAGATAGATGAAGGCTCAACCTGGAGGCCCACTAGGGACCTCCTGAGGACAGCTTGCACACTTGGGGCTGCTCTGCATGTGTGAGAGAGGAACACTAAGGGCAGAAGCAAAAAGCTATGAGAAATACAATCACTTCATCTGAGATGAGCATTTACTGATCCTTACAACACATATCTTTCATACTTACGTATATAAATTTCCTCAAACAAACAAACAAACAAACAATGAAATGGTGAGAACGTTAAATGGGAATGTAAAATCCCTTTTTAAAGTTGAATGGTTTATTACATACACAAACCCAGGATATCTACTCAAAACCAAAATTATAATATCATTAGCAAGTCAGAGAAGGAATGAGAAGAGAAAAGCATAGTTCTAACATTGCACCTACCATGGCGTTACCATAATTCAGCTGCAGGTTTCCTTTTTTGTTATTTATGCTGTTTTCAAACAAAAAAACCCCACTTCTTTGGCAACATATATTCTTGAAACGGTAAGAAAAAACATTCAAGATTAATATTACATAAACAAGGCACACAGTATCCCATAGCTCATGGAGACAAAATCAAGGCCAAAGAGAGCTTGCAGCTCCTGTCTGCTAGCCAGAAGACATTCAGGAGATGCCAGTTGCATTGGGGTCAAGTGGTGCAAGGGCCCTCAGTTGCTTTGACGGTTTTGAGAGCATTAAGAGACCAGGGAGTTTATTAGACCGCAAGGAGGGTTTCATAATCATCTTACCTGTGAAACTAAGAGGGATGAAATAAAAACAGTGTGCACAGGGAAGCAGAACAGAATAAATCTGGGATTTTCAGTTTCGATGCAACTATAGTGCCAGCTTAGTGCAGCATGAGAATGAAAAATTTCACATTCAGCTGAGAAGCTGCATATTGTCTCCAGGAGGAAAAGCAACCATGCGAGGTCTGCTATGGCATAGGTGTCAACAGCAGAATTTGGAGCTGATCTCTTTTGAAGCTACGGATTTGTCATGCAGGTAGGCTGCAATGTCCAGGGGCAGAAATCCTGTGACCGTTTGTTGCTGTGAACGATGCTGACTCTCACATATAGTCCTGCTGTCTTCATAGTAAACACTGTTGTACAAAAATTAAGCTCAGGCTATGTTTCCTATAACAACAGCTGATTCGGGACAAATAAATATGAGAACGGAGTCTGGCATTGAATTGAAAGGATAGTTTCATCTCAGTCACTTACCAAGTAAACTGAGTTTACACTGTTCCTAACAAAGTAAAACTGTGAGCCAGGAAGTCTGTAATTTTGGCAACCTCCAGTAACGGCCAGATCTTACAGTTTCTGTCTCCCCTTGGAAAGGGTGCAAAGAGAAACCCCTGCTGAGCTAACAGGCACACAGTTAAGCCAAAAGGAGCTTCAGGACTAAAATGTTTTACTTGTTCTTACATCAGAAGTAAAGTGTGTAGGCCCTTCCACCTACACCTTCCACCAGATAACTCCCCTCAAGTTCCTTCATTTACTTTCTAAAGTGATATTTCTTTTGTAATAACATTATTCAGTAAACACTTTCTCCTATATCATGCAGTGAGGAACACAACGCGTTCAGGTGGACAACCTCCTTATCACGTCTGCTTAGAGCTGCAAGGGGGATCTCCTCTCTTTCTTTAAACTACGAGAAAAAGCAGCGTGCCAGGGTGGCCCCCAGCCACCTTTTTTAGAGCAGGACACAGAGAGTCTAGTGAGATGGGTTCAGTCCACATGTTGCTACAGAAAACCTTTGCCCTTGCAATGGTGCAAAGTCTGAAACAAAATTAAGACTATGACAACAAGCTCACAGCTACAATTTATTTTCATTTTCGACTGTGTGGATATTTCAGCGGCTTCTATTTCTATTTCCAACCTTGGCATAGTGCTATCTGACACCAAACTCATTTGTACAAGGTGCCCTACCCAGCACCTTGCAGCACTGTTTCTTCTGTAACTGGACACAAGAAGTCGTGCTCCGGTTGCGTTTGCTGAAACGCAGGACAAGTGACTGCAATGCACTTTATAACAAAGAGGACGCTGGAAAAGATCCATCCGTGAAACAATTGTCAATAGACAGAAGGGCACTGATATGTTCCCCTGCTTAAGAACCTTATCAGGAGTTTAGGCTTGTGCAACCTGCCAAATTCAGTGTTCAATGATCAAAGAACCTATATATTTTGCCGTCAGCATTAACATTTCAGGAAAGCAGAGCCCAAAAGCTACTACATTAAGACAAACGACATGCTTTTTACATCCTTTTTTAAATTCTGATTCAGGATCAAAATTCAGGACTCTACTTAGGACACATTTAAAAGTTACTTCAGCCCAACTGAAGCATGATTTAAGAAACACACCAGACCAGCATCTGCTCAAGTGCTGCCTTGAATTTGATACTGAAACATGAGCAGAAATGCACAGACTCTTTTGCGACAGTTCGTACTGAAGGGAGGGTGAATTTGCTTAACCTGTTCCATCCTCCTGAAAATTGTGTAGCTTTTCAGTAGGATTTTCCAAGTGACAGATGGGTAAGAGCTGTAAGATAACAACACACTTTGGGTCGGTTCTTCTCTTTTGTTTCATGTTCAGTTTATTCCTCTGTCTGTTACATTTCTGCATTTGTGATGCAAAAATAGTTATGCTAAAGTAAGTTAGAGATATACCAAGAGTGCTTTTTCTTCCCCACTTAATGCAGCCATCTGGAAAAAGCCCAAATAAATGGATAAGCCCTATCAAATGCACTGGAGACAGTGGAGATCCAACAGAGCTTTGGAGGCAGGGCTTCTCCACACCGCGAACAAACCTTTTGGGGGTATCAACTCTGCCTTTACCTTCAAATAAAGGGATGCAAGGAAAGACTTCTCTGGGCCAGCTATACCTGCACCAAAAAGCATGACCTGCCGCCCGTAACGACTAGGGAAGGAGGAGGTGCTGGGGTGCTCCCCGCAGCCCGGGCACTGCTGCATCCCAGCAAGTGATGGCGCACAGCTTCCTCCTACAGGGTCAAGCCTCTGTGTGCCTGTGGCACACCAAGATGTGTTTCTAATGGATTATTACACTCAGAAGGAGAAGAGGTATATGTCTGTTATTTTTTGTCCTTTTTCCTGTAACTTAGCAAGCGTCTTTAAAGCGGTCCCTGTAGCACCCAGACATAAGGTATCATATTCCATCTGTAACGCAGGCAAAGAGCAAGAGAAGTTCAAACAACCAAAATATTGTTTTCCTTCCAATACAGTGCTGAAAGTCACAACTGCTTTTATGAGAGAAAAGGTAAATGTTAAATCTTTGTAAGACTGCTTCTTATTCAAGCAAAAAAAGCAATATAGCAGAGGGAACAGGTCACACTGTTCTTCTGACCCTGTCCCAAATGCCTCTTACAGAGCATGTTGAAATACTTCCTCCCAAAAATGTTAGTCACATAATTCCTGATATTACACAGTCATCTTGCTATCATTTTTCCCTTTCTTCCTTATTTTACTGCTTTGTAATTTATCATTTTTATCAAAGTAATAGGAAGGTAGCTAGTTTTATGTCTACTCCTCATTTACTACAACTTCAAAATAGCTATCTCGGCACTAGCAGCAATCCAGTGGTAGCAGGGTACAGTAGAGGCTATAAAGTCTGCACAAGAGGCAGTAAATACCTGGCTATTAGCCTGCCTCAAACGCTGTGCTGCTTTACCTAAACTGCTGCCAGAATTTGAGCGAGCAAGTTTAACTGCAGTGACTGCAGTGTAGACGTATCGTTTGTATTGCCCGAGTTTTACTTTCTGATTCTTTGCTAACGCTGTTTGCTGCTTTGTTTACACAGCAGTTTTATAGCTCCATTTGTCTGTGTAACCATCTTTATTGGCATATTGATATGCATCTAGCAGCAATGCTTCAGCATCGGAAGCAATGGTGTTCTGAAAAATCACTCCCTATTTTGGTCACCGACCAATCCCAGTGAAAGGTTTCTACTTCCCAGCATTCATTTATTATATTCAGTCATGCAGGCCAGGTAAATTAATTAGAGTATCCTCTTAAAAATCCTAAATGAAAATGGGAGTAACACTATTATTCATTAAGACACAGTTACATCGTGAGCCGCATTGCTTACCTATGGATATGGTCCAAACTGCAGCAATTTTCATAATAGCCTTGGTGCGGGAATTGAAGCGGCTGTGCTCAATGGGATTGCGTATTGCTACATACCGATCAAGAGAGATGGCACAGAGATGCATTATAGATGCAGTTGAAAAGAGCACATCTAGGGAAATCCATATAGGGCACAACTGTTTAGGCAAAGGCCAAGCATAATCTGAAACATAGAGAGAAAAGAAATGAAAGGAATAAAAGAAAAGGAAATAATTTGGGAAGCGAGGCCATCATTTCTGAGAAAACTGTGGGGTATTTTAACTCTACGGTACTGGCGAGGGGCACGTGCCTGAGGAGGGGCCAAGGGACACGCTCGCGGGGCGGCGGCCCCTGGCCAAGGTGCTCCATGCAGTTCCCAGACATCTGTTTTCTGTGACTGGCTTTACCAGCAGCTAAATGCAAAAGAGCACTAATTTGGCAGTGCCTCGGGGTGACCATTCAAGCTCCATTCCTCTCTTTTCACCTTTCCCCCAAATATTCACCGAGTCAAGTATTACATTCAATTATAATTGTATAATCACATTCTTTTGAAGGACTGGATAGTGCATAGCATTAACTTTACTCAAATCCACTCTAAAGCTCTCTCACTGGGAACTTAGGATATGTGCTGCTTAGCTTTGGTCTTCTAAGGAGAGAGGCGGCAGACAGGTTTTCAACAGACAGCCCAACACCTAGCTAAACTGCACTTGCATTTCTCAGTTTCACCTTAAACATCCTCCCCGGTTGGCGTGCCTTAATAACAGCAATGCTTGCCTCCTTACAGAGTAGCTGGGATTGATTGGCTCAAGTTTGGAAATCCTTCTGAAGCGCTGCAGAGCTGAGTATTACTATTTACACAAACAAGTATGCCATCAACCTCAAGAGACCAGATAGGTTCATTTGACGGCAGCTGGCACACAGCTAATTTGGGTGTCTGCACTTACCAACCACTCTACTCAGTGCTGAAGTACAGCGTGAGAATAAAAGTGACCCAGAGAGATGCTCGAGGGGCACCTGCATTTAAATTAAAGCTCAGAGAAAATTGATTTTTGAATGAGGCTCCCATGCATTAATGCCCAGCATGGATTATATGAGATCAGTAACATGTCCTGCCAAGCTCCGGGCTTCTCACGCACTTATCAAAACAAATCAGCAGTATCTATAGCAGCTGAGAACATGAGAGATTTTGTAATACTTGAATCATGAGGTATTCATGTATCTTTATTCAGAATGTGAATGTCTAAAACAATCTGTGAGTTTACGCTGAGGATCAGAAACATCACTCTGCAGAATCAACGTTATATTAAGAATGACAGAACTCCATCTTACCAATCTCTAATGGAAAGGGAGAAACATTAGTCTCAGAAAACATATTTTGAAACAAATGATCCAGTCAAATGAAGACTCACGTTACCTTACATGCAAAAGCACAAGATGAACTGAAATAGAGTAAATTATTTCAAATTGTCCCAGTGAAGCCCAGGAACAATTTGCAACAGGAACAAGACAGACCCATTAGCTCATTTTTCCATCGGGAAGCTCCCAGAGAAGCAGTAACTCGACGAAACCCGCACAGCCAGACCTCAGCTCGGGGGAGCTACACCCGTGACTTCAGCAAGTGCACATCGCCCCTATCAGAGGGGGTGAATTGGACTGAAATCCAAAGCAGCAAGCATTTAAGAGATCCTTTCCAAAGGAAATGAAGTAAAGTGCTTTGTGGCTGGCACGTCTTTAATTTAAAAGGCATCGCTGCTGCACAGATCAATCCAACTTGATTAAAGCATGACTCAGCCCCGCGATGGAGCTGGGATCAAATACTCGCCCTCCTGCTCCGGTTTGCACTTCGTGATGGCTTAGGACAACACTGCCCCAACCTGAAACCGAGTTCAAAGCTTCAGCCAAGCACAGTCCTGATTTGCGAGGTCTCGAACGAGCCCTGTTTGTGCTCACTGCTATCAGTGCCACGAGGTTCCCAGGACTCACTCCCCAGCAGTGCCTCGGCCAACGCTCCAGGAAAGAGCAGCTCTCCTCTCCTTCAAGCGTCCTAGGCACTCACAGTAAAGCCCTCAGCATCTGCTGCCAGCCCAAGCTAAATCACAGCCACTCACACTTAACCCCTTGCTACCTTTCCCCTTGTAGAGGCAGCTTTCCAACGCACGCTTGGAGCGTGCGGACAGGAGCCAGCGGTGGGGAGCGTGCTGCGGCGAGGGCAGTGGGTCAGCGAAGGTACGCTGGACAGGCAGGGGTATGCCACCGCCTGTGGGAGCATCTCCAACCTAATATCCGGAGTCACAGCGGGTATGATCTGCTTCTCGACATTCGCTGGACCTGGAAGAGGTTTCTACAGCAACTGCCTTCCCAGCACCGTTGAATGATGGACAGGCACTGTTAGTTTTTCCTTTAAACTATCCAAACACTTCCCAGAACTAATCCCCTTGGAACAACTTCTGCTATTGATGCCGACTAGGCAACAGCATAATAACCAAAGAATTAGCAAGAGCAAAGGCAACAGTAAATGTTCATGTTTGTGGTGTGAGGCTAGCAGATACCATCTGCTACCAGCCTCGGCGGAGCAGGAACCACAGCCAGCCCCAGAGCTGAGTACTTTCTTACACACACAAAGAATAGTTGCAAACAGATCAAAGCAGCATTGCCCTGAATTATTGCCCAGGTAAACTGCTACGATTTGAAAGGTGATATGGCGATATGAAAGCCCTCCTGATGGTTAATCCTTTTAGTCTTTACTGTCCCAAGGCACTGTGTTATGCTTCTAGCTGAAAAGGCAGTTATATGAGGAGACATTTTACTTTCTCCAGTAGTTTCCTAAATGATCTATGAAAAAGAAAAGTCACTATTGAAATTTGCAGAATGGCAGCATGCAACACATGGCTATAGCTTGATATAAAAGACATAATATATATACCTTATCTCGAAAGGCAATTGCTTTTAAGTAAGAATGGTGTATGCATTTGAAAAACACCTACACAGCCTGCGAAGCCAGTAATCTGTGCAAAAAGAAAAAAAAAGTTGATTCTAATTCTGTTTCATAAAAATGCACAAGCATAGGAAGTGTGCCTCGTGACTGCGCCAAGAGGTAAACAAAGATTTAAAAAACCTCTGCTAACAACGGTATACATTTAAAACACTCTTTTTCTCAGAAGTATTCTATCTGCAGAAGGTCACGTTTCTCTAATTTCTTCTATTTTCTCTCACTACATGCACAAACAATAGCAATTATCATGTTTTTAGAAGTGCAGGTGACTGAGTGAAATAGCCTCTTGGACCTCAGCACTTCTAAGTTTGGAGCACACATTTGCAGCTGCAAGCATGCATCCTAGTCCCACTTCCACCCCGAAAAGAGCTAAACAGTGCTAAACGTCTGGGTGACACCTGAGTTCTTTGTAGGAAATCCTGAATTTTGTATCTTTTAATAATCTCTGCCCTTGAAATCAGTCATATCTTTAGTGTACTGACTGGTAAATCTTACAGGACAGTGCTGAAGTGAGTTAAATGAATCTAGCTGCTCAAACATAAGGAGATATTTCCTTAACCAGTGTTTAATCGAGCTACACAGTTTTTTTGCCTTGGGACATTTTGTGGATGCTAGAAGTTTACATCGGACAAATTCATAGAGAAAATTGCTAAAAAGGTTACTGTACATAACGATAGTACTTCTAGATCAGAGCCAAAAACTACTAAAGAAAAGGACAGCATGCCAGCACGGTACTGCTACACGCTTGCCCTGATGCAATACCCTTCCCTAGCCATGTCCCTTCGGCCACTCCTGGAGATCTTTGGTCTGTGTTGCTTCTCACAGAAGAGAAAACAATCTATCTCCATCCCCAGGCGCTGCTGTCACGAGAACTAGTTAAAAAGAAAACGGGCAGAGTGCCACAAGGAGGCACCAATCTGGAGCACGGTGCCTGGATCCCCCTTGCGCCTACGGACACGCTACCTAAGGTGGACACTAAGTTCGTCCCCTTCCTGTCCCCAGCTGACTTACAGGCAACGCGAGCATGACCCTCCTTCGTTTGCACAGTCTAACTCAGAAAGGAAGGAGTTTTGTCCGGAGCGAGTCTGTGGTGGATAACTGAATCGCACCATGTGGATTAAAGAGCAGGAAAATCTTCTACTGGGTTTTGCGCAGCTCTCCCTGGTGTAGGCTCTGCCAGCTTTCACCTGGCTGGAGGCCATCCCCAGGCACAACCTCGTCCAGCAAAATGCCACCGGCTGCCACCCTAAGCCTGGTTCTCATTTCTGAATCTGAAAAGCCTGTCCCATCCAAAATGCTGATCCTCCAGTGTTAGCATCTGGCTCTAAGGAGGATAAAAACACAACGTATGAAACCCTGGAAGGAAAGTTCTGCCGAACGCCTACACATTGCACTTTAGCCTCTGATGTTGAATAGCATCTGCCTGAGTTGCTATGGTTCTTCGTGGGAAATGTAGGTCAAATACCCATATTTAACCAGGGTTCATGGTCCATAGATGGGTTTTTTATCTCCTGTGCTTCACTCTGGTGAGATAGAAAGCCGCAGTTCCTGTGTGCCGCCAAAGAGCTGAGGCAGGCACAAACCGATGGCAGCAAAATACAGAAACTCAAAAGCGTTTTGACAAAGCTCCAGATCATCTTTCTCTGTAGCTAATTTGCTGTCAGATGACTGTTCCCTTAAATTTTTGTGCTTTCCATTGACAAGATGGCAACGATGAAATTTAATCACTTTTGTTAGAGGTTTTATGGCATACGGGTAAAAAGTGCTGTATAACAGTGGGATTATGGCCATTGTGCTGTTCATTGCCTGAGAGACAGAATTACCAGCCACTGCGGCAGGAGAGGAATCTCACAGTAAATGAGAGCAAAATTAAATACGTGGAATGGTAACACAGAATTACTCCAGATTGTAGGAGAATGGCTGAACTGGAGAAAAAAAAACCAAAAAAACACAATTGTGTTAGAAGCTGCAGCTGAAAGAAACTGTGGGACTGCAAAACAGACCAAAGCTGATACCAAACCCCTTCCTTCTCCCCGCAAAGTCACCAACCAAATCTCATGAGCTTTACCCTACCTTTTGTGCTAAGCTGGAGGAGATAGGAGCTGTGTGTGCCCACATACACACTCCACGCTACAAGAGGACTTAGCCTGGCCTACTGTCTCTACATTTCCAAAAAGACTATTGCTCACGTA